CACAAGTACGCATATTGAGAAAGGCCCTCTGTTTTAATACAAAGTTTCTTTCATAATGAACGCTCCAAATCTCACAGTTCACCCCAAGAAGAACGAGCTACAGCAGCGCTCGACTCAACTATGCGCTCCTTTGTTACATGGCGCCAACAGAAATTAGAAATTAAAAGTCTCACAGAGGTAGTTAATATTGCAGGAATATTGCACTGGATTGCATTAGATTTAGACAGTTTTTCATGTTGCTGTGTCCACCTCCATAAACTGTGAGAAGCAATTTTCGATCAACTAAAAGCAGCCTTTGTACTTGTTTATGGCCTCTCCATATGGCTTGCATGAATCCGGGAGCTAATTATTAGTCCAAAGGCAATAACAGTGTTTCACAGGAACATCAAAGTGGGTGCAAACAACTCTCTGATGTAGCAGAACATAAATGAGTTTTAGCAAAATGAGCACAACAAAGTGGCCTCCTAGGACTGCCAGGCTTGATAGCCTTCTGTTTGAGCGTTTTGATTGGTGGCTGATTATGACCTGGGAGTTGTGGCTTAAACAGTTACTTAAGTGGATCAGTTAAGAGCTGGACTGCGACGAATGATTTCACTCTGAAGGCGTAAATAATATTTTCTTTTCAGCATGTAATGAAAGGTCCGCTGTGATGGTTTGATTAAATTAAAAACAGACCCATTTATATATATATATGCATCGCCACATGCAAACAAACCCTCCCACACACCCCTCCGCCTGCTTACACGTTCCTGCTGTCCAGCGTGCGATAGCCGCGTGAGCGCGAGCTGTGCGGGGCACTCTGGAGGGCGGCGATGTCGAAGGCAGCTGTGTCGGCCTCGCCTCCGCCCTCGTCGTCATACGTTATGATGTTCTCGCGTACGTCGTCCTCCTCCAGCGGTGACAGCGAGTCGCGCTTCTGACGCCGCAGCGACAATGACAGGGCACTCACCGCTGCCGAGGGGTGGCGACGGGAATAACGGATATTGAGGCATAGGAGAGAAATTGGAAAAAGAGTGATGAACAAGGGAGAAGGAGGGGGGGGCAGAAGTCACAGGGGAAATAAAGGAAAGGTGGAAGAGGTGTGTGTGTGTGTGTGTGTGTGTGAGCAAGGGAGAAAAACTCAAGCAGACAAAGAGGTGAAACACAGAGACAAAACGAATACAGAGAGTCCTTGGGTTAGAGGGCTGGTATATCATATCAGCAGACTGCATGCCTCCACTAGGTAATTGACTTTGAGCTCCAGCCAGCCAAATGGATGCTTTATTGTCCCATGACTCCATGACTCTTATTGCATATTCCCAATATCGAGAGCTAAATTTCACCCTGGACTGTGGCAACGAACCAAATGATGCCTTTGTGACTTTTAACAGGTTTGCAAACACAACATTAGCATTGGGCAGTAGAATCAGCCTTCCCATACCCACTGACATCAAACTCTGGGAACAGTGGCTTTTTCTTTTTTTTTTCCATTTCAATTTTCCAGGGCAAAGGCACAGACGCAGGTCTAGATTAGGTTCCTGCACTAGGCTCGAGTTGGTAGAAAAACAGATACAGGACACCTATGATAACAGAATTAGTATGCTTATTAAGTGGGGGAAATCCTATTCTTGCATGTGCTGAACTTTCTGGATGCAAATAGGGAGAAAATGAGAACCAAGCTGAAAAGTAAAGCGCATAAATATTCAGGAAGGCACCCGATCCTAATAAGACCCCAGTCAGAAATCAAGGACAAGAAGAATTGAGCATCCGGTTAAAGTTGCTGCTGGTACACCTGTGGAAGGTGACACCTTTACCAATAATTTCTCTCATTATCGGCTTGCCAGTTCATTTGTACATTTCAAGGATGCAATTTTTTTTCCACTCCAATGTACAATTTCTGAGGACAAGTTGATCAACTCTCTGAATTTGGACCCTCACAGGTTACTAGAAGGTTAGTTAGTTGATCGACTGACATTGCCCATGTTTTTTTCTTAATATATTCCACTCACCCGCTCTTAGACAGCTCTCCCTATCATCTGTGTAAACTGTTTTGGTATTTATAGAAATCCAAACCGTGCTGAATCTGCTCGGGTGCTTATTTATATTTGCAGTGTATGATTTGATTTAACAAACACTAATGTGCTTGTGTTTCCATACGGCTGTATCGCAGAAGGTTAAGCTGCCGCGGTAAGTAAATCTACAGCCTTAATATAGTTGGAGGCCACATTATTTGATTTCTATGGAACTAATTCAATGATCCCTAAATGGAGTGGGAAAACTCCAGGAATAACCTTTATAGCGTGATGTGTGTATATTTATCTGTTAAAGACAGCCTCTATCCACAGGGCAAAGTTGCCAAATGGCTCAATGGCTACCTCGTGTAAACCCCGCTCCTTTTTAATAGGGTTCTTAAAGTTTCTTTAAGGATGTTTGGCATTCTGCGGAAGGCCTTGTTATTATAGTGTTTAGAAATAGAAAAAGCAGAATTGTACTCCTGCCCACGATCATGCCATTATCACTTAGCGAACTAAATTCTTAACTCCACTAAATCCACTGAGCACGATCACCTTCATGCCATGTCGCGTCTCCCACTTGATTGAACTGGCCCCTTCCAGAATGATAATGCCTTTATCAACAAGGCATGAGTGATTTCAACAGACTCAATAGAAATGACAATGATGCTGGCTATCAGCCAGTCTTCTCAGCAACTAGGCATTATCCAATTGAGCATTTGAGTTTCTGCAAAGGTGGCTGTGACATTTTATTACGCTGCTATCAAAAACCGGAGGGCCCAGATAATCACTCAAAATTGTTATTTTAGCTGTGATTAGAGCTGACCTTGCCAAGGGAAATAACTGGACCAAAATTGCGAGGAAAAGTAAACCTGTATCGAGCAGCTGTGACTAAGAGAAATATTTACGCTGCTGCTTTCATTATTTTCATATGCAGATTAAGCATCCAGAGATGTAGTTCAAGGTAAACAAGCCCTAAACGCTATTTACTCAACTTTCTATTTGTAGAATAGCATTAAATGCATTTCTAAGGAGTAAATATTTATGATATAACTTCATATTATATTATAATGTACATAACACTAAGTGCTGTTATAAAAGCCATCATGTAAGTTATATAAACAAGGGCCTTTCAACATTTTACTTTTGCTTTTGGCATTATCTTAAGCCAAGCCCAGATTTAATCTCTCTCAAGCTTTATGAGCTATTAAGTATTTACCCAGTAATGTAGCAACACAAGCCAGGATAGCCAGCAAGGCAGCTGTACTGAGCCCAGGGGAGGGCAGTGTGGACTGCTGAGGAAGACACACCGCTTCTTTCTCCCAGTCCCATTCGCCCTCGGTCTGTTTGTCCTTGTCTTTCTCCCCGGCTCGTGCCCCTCCTTTCAGGCAGGGACAGACGGACACAGTGACCGTCCCAGTGCTGGTGAGGCCAGACGTCCCATCCCTCAGGACGAGCGGCACGTAGAGGGTCAAGGTGGAGGATGAGGAACGGGACAGTGGCTGGATCTGGGACAGCAACACCAAGCTGGCTGTGGGGCCTGAAGGAGAGTTGACAGATAGGAAGAAACTTTGAGTCCACTGTTAACCGCATGCTACAGTGTCGTTTGCAGAATGGAGGCAGGACGTTCCAATTTGGAAATGATGCCCAGAAATGAATGTCCTCATGTTTGCAAATGTGCGACTGCAGTCAGCTGGTGACGGGTTTGTACCACAAAGGAATTGAGCAAGCAAAAATATTTAGCCTCTCTTTTATTTTTACTATTTTCGTTCACTTCGTTTCGTTCCACAGCAGGATAACAATGATACTAATTTTACAGGATGAATCTACTAGAGTGTTACAAATTGGGCAGACAGTATATTTTTCGCTGCCGCAGCCAGACCCTTCATGATTTATGGCTCCAGATAGGCTGTAAAACTTAAACATAAATTCTAATATACTTTCACGTTTAAAATTATTGTTTGAATAATGTGGTGCCATTAGATCCATCTGTATGATCCTTTTCAAAGACTCCCACGCTTGTCCTGGTTCATCACACAACAAAGCATGTACAGAAGAAAGCCTGTACATCCAAAGCACTGACTTTTAGAACACACTTGTATGAAAGGAATACATCACAAGCCCGTTTTTTTTTTTTTAAGATGTTGTAATGGACATCAGTGATGAGAGGCTCACATACAGCAATTTAAAAGGACAGAGAGCAGCAATAACAAAAGAAGTAATGGCCTGTATTGATCTGACTCTCACTTTTGAGAAAAAGAACTGCGGAGGATCTGTGTGGGAGACGTTTTTAGAATTACACACACAAGGCCACAAGAATATAGCCGCTGACACGAAAGCAGGTTTTCATTAGCATGAATGGCACTGGGAATGAAAACATGACAAATGCGATTATCAAAAAGATCTTCAGCGATCCAAAAGATAGATCAAATCGTTGTCTTTTTAAACAAAGAAAGTAATGTAGCATTTTGTCAGACAAGCTGTCCACACGGGAGCTGAGGATGATCTTATTGTCTCTCTGTTCTACTGTTGGATGACACATCAAAGAGGTCTTTGATTTCACATGTCGCTGAGTTTATAATACTCATCCATGATCTGGCGAGTTTACTTGGTTTTGTCTG